GGGGCTGCTCAGCCTGGGGAAGAGAAGGCTGCGGGGAGACCTTGGAGCAGCTGCCAGTGCTTAAAGGGGGCTTCTAAGAAAGATGGGGAAAATCTTTTGAGCAGTGCTTGTTGTGATAGGACAAGGGGTGATGGTTTTAAACTGAAAGAGGGGAGATTTAGACTGGATATAAGGAATATATTTCTTACAGTGAGGGTGGTGAGGTGCTGGCCCAGGTTGCCCAGAGAGGTGGTCGATGCCCCATCCCTGGGAACATTCCAGGCTGGGTTGGATGGGGCTCTGAGCAGCCGTGTCTGGCTGAAGATGTCCCTGCTCACTGCAGGGGGGTTGGGCTGGATGGCCTCCAAAGGTCCCTTCTGACCCAAAGCATTCTGTGATTCTCTGACTCTCCGAAAGCTGTTCCCCACGGTGTAGGTGGTCATTTCATGGACTACCAGAACACGTATCATGGGCAGCTGGTGATTTCCACGCCAGGCTCCCCGGACTCCCCACACCAAGCCCTCCAGACAGTCGTGCTGCCCCATGAACTTCTCCACCCAGGCGCAGGGATGCCTGCCCCAGAGCCCAGCCCAGCCCCACGCTCCCTCCCGGCTCTCAGGCTCCCTCTGCAGCGCGTGCTGCAGTCAGGATTTGCGGGTGATGCCATCTGGGGCAGGAAGGTCCCTTTGCTGTGGGGCACAGTGGGGCACATCGCAGGGTGTCCCCGGAGAGGCAGCGTGGTGGCCGTGAGCATGCGCTGGTCTGCCTGCGTGCCCGGTCACCGGTGAAGCTCCATGCTGGGTCGATTGAAGGACAGGTCGTCCACGAGCACCCTCAGAGAGCCCCAGCCTCCAGCGTGTGAGACGCAGTGCTGGGGGACCCCAGCCTCTCTCTTGGTGCGGTTGAGTCCCAGCAGGTCCCCATGGAGGGGTAAGATCCCGAAGCTTGCACATTTGGCCTGTTAAAAGCGTGATTTGTTCCCAAGACTAAATAAATGACTTTCTTCAGGCTCTTCAGGCTGGAGGGCGATGGGCTGGAGGATAGAAGTGACGCTGCTCACAAGCACGGTCAGAGCCGATGGCTTTTAGGGGGCTGCAGCCTGGGTGGTCCCAGGTCCATGGGGTCACCCTGAGAAGGAGACATCCCGCCTGGGGGGGCTGGAAGTGACCGTGTCCCTCAGCCAGCAGAGAGGCACGGGCAGTGCCGGGGCCAAGGCTGGCATGCGAGAAGCTCCCACGCCATGCCAAGGTGGAGGCGGTGGGGACGGTGGGGGGCCGGGGTCTGGAGGCCAGCGGGGAGGCAGAGAGAGGGGGGGGGTGGAGGGGTCTGGATGCAGGGGGTGCAGAGGAGGGGTGCAGGGTAAGGCGCAGGCAGGCAGGACGTCTGAGAAGATGTGCACGGCCGCTCTGGGAGTTACTGGAGCACCAGGAGCCCCGGGCACAGGGAGGCTCAGCTGCATGCCGGCAAGAGGAGATGCCCCGAGCTCGTCCCCTCCTCAACCCACACGTAAACCATCCCACCACTCGCTCATGCAGGGAAAGATCTCACCAGCTGTGGCCTGGTCAATACGGACTACGCCAGCCGTGCCATCCGGCGAGACCAGGGGCTGACCATCCCAGCGCTGCTTCTCCGCAGCAAGCGCCAGGAGGCACGAACAGGTGCGGCGATGCCCAGGGAGGCGAGGGGTGGGGAGCAGACCCTCCAGCAAGCCCCTGCCAAACGGGCTGGGAGCTGCTGGGCCGTTTGTCCTGCTGCTCTGGGAGTGTCGGGGGTCTGGGTGCTCTGGCACGACCTGGCAGGCGCTTTGCCCACCGGCTGACGTTGGCCTCTCTATCACCTGGGGACAGGGACGATGCGGCGCAGAAGGGGAGCTCAGCTCTTCCAGAGCGTATTGAAATCACTGAGTTTATTAAGGACTTGTATAAGCGGGACCAGTTTGTCCCAGTAACCCTTTGGTTTGGCCCGGTATCTGTCCCAGTAACCCTCCAACCACCCCTTACTGAAGGGCAGAAACCAACAGATTAAAGATGTGGTTACTGGCCCAGGCACGGGCACTTGCCCCAGTTCTCCCAGCACCGTTGCCCGGTGCGCTTACTGGTCCCAGAGGTGCACGTTAAAATTGAGAAGCAATTAATGAGTAAAGAGCTCCAGCAAATTAGAGAGCAAAGGAAACGCAGGGTCTTTCCTTGGGAAGTAAA